TAAAAGTGAATTTTAACTTATGGTGGATCATGATTTTTACTGTGTGGGTTTTGACACTTCCTAATTTTGCAAAATTAGTATATATTACTTAGAAAACATTTTTGTTTTGGGCCCTCCCTGGTGGATCAATGGGTTAAAGCACAGCACTGTGAAGCTAGCCACAGCCACTTTAGCATGAGTTTGATCCCTGGCCAGTGAGGTGACCCACATGGCACAGAAGACCTCTCCCACTGTTCCCCTCAGCAGTGTACTTTGTCGATCTGCCAGCACTACTCCCCACTCTGTCTCTGGTGAGTCCTCTCTCTGCCCCTGCACCTCTGGCCTATACTCCAGTTCTGTATGTATAAATAATTATTTTAATTGTTATTACTATTCAGTGGAAGAAATACAGCTGTTTCCACATTCTCTAAAAACTTCAGAATCTCTATGACTTACCATCTCTCCTACAATAACCCAGATCTAACCACCCTGTTCAAACTTCATTTTTCATCTAGCCAAAAACTTTCCTGCATTGAGATAAAACTCATGCTTTTGATTGACTGTTTCTTTACTTGATTCTTTATATCATGAGCCATTTCATTTCTCACTAAATCATTAAATGTGTTATCTGGTTATGTAAATTTCTATATAGAGTTTGGAATTAAAGTCAAATAATTGAGAAAGAGAAAACTGGCATTAATCTCAAGTAAACCAACTATGTAAAAATAAAATTTGTACCATTTAATATATTTTTAACATTCATATGCTAAAGACTGATTCCTAACTCTACTGATCACACTTGAATGAAAGTAGAAGAAAAACAGAATACTTATTTTCATCCTTTTCTAACGTTTTCTTTTCAGACTGACTTTCTTATTCACAACTGAGAATAGGAAAAGTTATATGAGGCCACAGGACCACTGCAAGATGGCCTCACTAAGAGGAATCTTTGGAATACATGAGCTAACTTAGTCCTTTCCCACCATTTAATCTCCTGTTGAGCTTTTCTGCATGACCTTTGCATTTTTAAAATGTCTCTAGATGATGTTGTTATGTCAATGGTCTGAGGACCATGCTCAGAGAGACTACATTTGAATATCCAAAGTACTTTTAGAAATCACTTTGGGCAAGCATGCCACACCAATTTTACCAGAATCTCTAAAAATACTTTTTTAACTATTCTGCATGATTTCAATATGGAGATGAAACTGAGAACCACGGATCAATACTGGAAGCAAATATAGTTAGTAGGCAGCTCTCCTGCCCACCTGTGAACATGCAGGTAGATGTCTTTCTTTCTCCTTTTCCGAATAAACTTGTCCTTTTTAAGATGTAAGAAATAAACGAAGGATATTCTAAGTAAATCATTTTTTGCCTTGATTAAATTTCTGTAATTAGCTAATGTCCATATAGTGTATTTATGTGTGTATATACATATGTATACACATATGTATATATATATATATGAGCATGTGTGCATAAGTATGTATGTTTGTGTGTTGTATATGTATATTATATATTTGTGCATGTATAAATTAGTTTTAATTATCCTCCCAAAGAGATTAGCAACCATTTTTTAAAACTCTAATCAGGAATCCAGAAGTGACAACTTTAAGGGTTTCAAATATCCTTGCTTATGTATCTATTCAACAGATTGTAAGAATATTTGGTATTTGAAATAGTATTCATTCTTTAAGTGAGTGGTGCTTAGGATATGTGAATTGGCCATAAATAATGTAATTTCTAGCAAGCCCAGCAGTTCACAGAGTCTTGAACAGTGCTTTGTGCTTAGCACGCCACACAATCTTGTGTTCCCTACTTCAAGGAAGCTTATTATCGCCAGATCTGGTTAGAGGTTTGGTTAATCCTGCTGTTGACACACATAGTGTCACCTCTGAGTAAGTTAACCTTGCTGCACCACTGATATTTGTTATTGGTCATAATGTCCAAAAGAGATCGGAAACTATGTTCTCGACTGTATTTATTCAACAGCAATGAAAGTTAACTGAAATTCACAACATTTCATGTTTAAAGTGCACATCTTAATTAGTGTGGCATGCATGACCCTATTAAGCCATCCACATTCATCCCAAAAAGAAGACATGTCTAGTACTACAAAACTTGCTTGTGGCTTCTTTAAACCCCATTCTTTTACCCTAGTTCTTCCTTCCTGATAAGTCTATTCACCTATAGGCTGTCACTATAGCTTGCTTATGTATCTATTCAACAGATTGTTTATTTGAAATAAACACAACCAAGTGGTATGTGCTTATTTTTACTTACATGATTTTGTCATAATGATTTTAAGATTTATTGCTATTTAAGCATGTTTCTGTAGTTTGTTCCTTATATTGCATTTAATAATATCATATTGCTAAACACAAGTTATCCATTTACCTGTTAATGTGCATTTGGGTAGTTTCCAGACGGAGGCTATTGTAAAGCTGCTATAGAGAGTCACTTAAAGTCCTGTGTGGACATGTGTTTTTGTTTCCCTTAGGTAAAACTAGAAGTTAAATATCTGAGTAATTTCTTAAGTAATTTTTAACTTTATAAGAAGCTGCCAAACCGTTTTCAGAGTAATTGTGCCATTACACCCGCCTCCTGCAGAACATATGTCTTCCAGTTCTCCAAGTCCTCTCTAGCCCTTGGTAAGGTCACTTTTATTTGATTGCTATTCTAATGGTAACTCAGTATTTCCAGACGACAAATGACATTCAGTATCTTTTGCATAGAGGTCATTCACATATTTTCTTTTGAGAAATGCCTATTTTATTATGTTGCTCATTTTTATTTTTACTGGATTGTCTCCAGAGTACTGAGTTATATTTACATTGTCTAGATACAAGTCCTTTGACAGATATGTTAAATATATGTTCTCCCATTCTCTAGGCTGCTTTTCATTTTCATAATGTAGTATTTCAGAGGGTAAAAGACAGGTCTTATTTGTTTCTTGTTCCATGTGGTCACAGAGTGGCCTTGCCTGGTGATGTTTTGAGAAACTGTTCATGACACAATGGCTTTGCTGTGCCAGCCCAGCTCCGAACAACACCAAGGCCTCTCTGACAGAGCAAAGGCAGTACTTAGTGGTCATGTTCATCGGTCACATGGAAGCACAGATTAGGAAGAGAACCCACCTAGGAGGTCATGGATAGCTTTGCTACGAAACGGACATTTAAACTAAGAGTTTAAAAATAAAATTTCTTTTAGTGCCACAGCCAGGGGCTCATGTGATGTTTTCTGCTTTCTTCCGCTTGCCAAGAGTTTTTTTCCTACCAGTGAATAACTACAAAATATAAGGCAAACCTGGGTTCTCACACTAATCTCAGACTTCTCCAATGTGATGACATTCTCTAGCTTTTTCTACTGAAAACAGTTTCTGTTAAAAGTCCTTATAAGGATATTATAACAATTAGTATTATGCAAATGTAATTTTAAAGGATAAAGGAAAAAATAACGCACAAAAAGGAAACCAAAGTTATTTAAAGTCCACTCGAGATTGTTAAACTGGAAATAATTTATATTCCCTAGGTACAAAGTGGATGATTCAAAACTGAAAGACTTGGTAGTCAAAATCAATGAATTGAATGGACTGGCCCTTGGAGGAAAGGTGAGAAAAGAAAGTTCTTCATTTTTTCCTCTGATTTCAAATCTTGCTTGTATATAAATGAGAAATAAAAGCTCATCCTGCTGCAGAATGAATGGCTTTCCTGCAAAAACTCAGCTGATCAAAGTCTTTAAATCTCATGGAATGCCAGATCTTCAAAAACGTCTGGATGTTAGAGAATATTAAAGACTTGGGACAATGAGCTGCACCCCATCTCCTATTAGACTGAGCTGTAGACGATTTAAATACCATCCTGGCAAAGTGGAAGCACACCCCTGAGCATCGATGCACATTCCAACAGAGAAGCTTGTCTTCCTAGGGAGAGGCTGTCAGGGGAGATCTGAAAGATTACCTGATACATAATGTGGGGTCATTTCTTATAACTTATAATGGGTATTTAATTTCTCAGCTACATTTTATTTAAAATGATGGGTGCTGTGGGTAGCCATGGTACAGTAAGCCATGGTAGATGGCTATTCTGTATTTTTCTAATCATCAAGAGGTAATGCATGAATATGCATCTCATTTTTGTTATTTTAGATATGATTTTGATTCACCCCAAATATATCAAAAACTGTGCTGCTTTTTCCTCACTACCATACTACAAGTATTACATGGTAGGAAAAGTATTAAAGTATTACTATGCTTTTTTGTGAGAATAGTTATCTAGGACTCAAATACTTCTACATGTGACAGTGAGTATGGTAAAGTCCTCATAAGGGGGAGTCCCCAACACAGGCAATATTACAGATTCTCATCTCAGAACCAGGGACAATCTCCCAAACACATGCAATACATATTCAAAAACATTGTGAATTCAGTGTCAGATCCACACATGCAAGCATGGAAGTCTACATAGTAGATCTCTTTTATGGATGTGGAGTCTGACTAACGTTTGAGTGCAAATCAATTTGATACGCATTTGTAAAACTGTCTTATAATTACAAGGTATGAAATCCAGCTAATTACTCCATAGAACATAAAAAGATAAAAAGTACCTTGGAATCTATCCTTCCTGGTACAATATGCAGTAATCGGTGTCTAGAAGTTAAAACATGCTTAGATTTCACCTTTCCTTTATACTGCAAAATATATGCCAACATAACTTGTTTAAGTAACTATATCTTAAAAGCTTATAAAGTCTAATAATTAAAAACGACAGAACAAGTTGGAAGAGAAGCCTATGCCACTGAGGGCAGGAGAAGCTCTTTGAGAAGGAAGACATGAGTCAGGGCCCTTAGACAAACCTACTTTCTTTTCCCCACAGCTCTATTTTATGTATTTAAAAGAAAATTCCCTCAATTTTTTTGTGTCATAAATGTTTTACTTTATGTCGACCAAAAGAAAAAAAAAGAAAAAAGATGTGGACATTAATTTTGGCAGATTTATTTTGATGATGAGGTGCTGCTAGTTGCTATCTAATGTACCATACATAAATAAACAGTGAAGCAGGCTCAAGACTCTCACCCATTTTGGAAAACAGTGGAACACGACGGTAACCTGAAAAAGGAATCACATATAGTTAGAACAGTCAAATGACACACTAGCGTGAAGGGACATATGCACTCCTATGCTCACAGAAACCACCTACGTGCCTGACAACATATGAATGAACTAAAAACATGTGGTGTGTGGTTAGAAATATAGACAGACAGACAAATAAATGGATGTGCAACAGAATACTATAAAGAAAATATGAAATCTTGCCATTTGTGATAACATAGAACTGTAGGGGATTACACTATGCAAAATAAATCAAAAGGAAAAAAATTATCAGACAATTTCATACCTATGTGGTACATAAAAAAAAAATAAAACAAAGGAACAGATAATACAAAAGCAAAATAACCCTAGAAATCTGAGGTTACCAAAGAAAAGTAAGGGAAAGCAAGAGAGGAGGAAACCAAATGAATTATGGCACAGGGGTATGGTAACTTTGGTGGTGGGTGTATTGTGATAATATACATCTAATGGGGTATAAACCTATACCCCTAAATCATTTACAGTGTTATAAATCAATGTTACTACAATAAAAAAATAGCACATTTTGAAAATTAAGTAAGTAAAAAATAGCTGCTATTAAAAATAAATAATCCTCCATTGCCCTGATAGCACAGCTGAGAAAACATACATCTTTAATATTCATATATAAAAAACCTTCACTATGTAGCTATGTCATCTTTGATAACATGAAACAATTATCGGTTATATCCCAACTTCCTTCTACCAAACACTGAGCACATAGTTGGTGCTTCCTCTTCCTAAAAGTGCAAAATTAATCACCACCTTCTGCTTCAGACAGACTCTGCTTCTAAGTGTATCTCAGATGGAGTTGGAAAGAAAATACAATGAGATGAGGCCATCGGGAGCACAGTGCAAATCATCCCATCATGGAGACTGAAACGAAGGCAGTCTTGGAAGGAGGGGAGTTTGAGATCCCAGCCTTTCCTTCATAGGAAGAATGAGGCACTGCTTCTCTGTTCTGTTTGACTTCCACCCTTCATTTCTCTAGAGTAGTCATGAAGAAAGGCTCATACTTGTAATTAGTCTTCCTAGCAACCCCATAACCAAACCCACCTTTAATATGAGAACACATGTCTATAATTCCACTGAGAGAAAATACTTGTCAATACATCAATATTCCTTTATAGCTGACTGTCATGGAAAGAATTAACTGTTCAATCAAAGCATGTCTTTGGTAAACTTAAGTTAAATTTTAATGTTAGCACAATTACCCTACTTGAGAAATATTACCTTTGTTCATGCATAGAACTGGTAAAGTATACTGCCCAAGAAATTCATTTTCGGTTATAAAATTTTGATTTTCAACAACAAAACGTATCAATGCCAGCTCTGGCACTTCAATAACAAATGTGAAGGTTTCATTCCATTTTGGACTAAAAGCTGAAATATAAAGGAATAGATATAATCAAATAATAATCACCACTATTCTGAAGAGAATATGCATATCTGTTCTCCAAATTTTTTATTGTTAATAATAATTGTTTCTGTTTTAGAGCACAAGTTAAACCAATGCACCTTATTAGAATTAAATTTTAAATGCATCACAAGAGAAAGAAACCATAATGGCAATACTTATTGAGTGTTTACTCTTGCTGGGCTATATTCTAAGAACATGCAATAGATAATCCCATTTAACCCTCACAGTGGTGCCTTCAGATTTATTATGATTCACGTTAACAGATGAGAAAACTAATCCATAATGCTGTTACATCACTTCCTAAGAGTTTTACATACTCAGTCATGAAGTAGCATAGCAGGAATTCAAACAAATGGAGTCCAATTTCATAGCAGATGTGTTTAATCAGTATGCAATATGACTGCCGTGTTAAGATTTTTCATTAATTGAGACATAAGGAAGCAATATTTTCCTACCCCAGAGTCTATTATGGGAAGAGTTACACAGACAGGTATTGGACTGAAAGCTAGGCAACAGCACCCTAAAGTTAGTTTTTTACTAACTAATCACTTAAAGCCCAGAGCTAAAAAGTAATTTATGTCTGTAGCAAAGTATCATCCTAAACAAACTATTGACAAACAAGAAATTTTAAAAAGGTGGCCCCAATAATCAAATTTAAGCACAATTTAATAGAATTAAGAGATCCAGAATGACCATATGCCATACCTAATCAAAACTCAAAGGTTCAAGAAGAAATAAGTACTTGTTTTCACGTACAAAGCCAATACTATACTAGCTTTGGCAATAACTGTTGTTCTTTGAGTTGCTTTTTGAGAAGCACTGTAGAATTTGTGACTAATTATTCTATGTCTAATTTTTCTATGGTGTATCTGTGGTCACAGCTACTATTTGCTGGTAATAACCCCAAGTGCAGACTATGCTCGTGAAAATAATAAACTTATTAATTGACTTATGCTAGAAAAAATGACTATATTATCTAAGAAGAAAGGAATTTCAAGAAGTACAAGATGACTCCTAAGTCAGGTTGACTCCATACTGTAAATTAAGTTATAGAATCAGTTCTTTAAAGCTACTATAAACTGAAAATGTATGTGCAAAGTTTTCATACTGATTTATTTTTCTCCTCCCAATGCTCATTTGTTATTGTCTCTCCTTCCCTCTTCTTTCTCCTGTCTCTTCCTCCTCCTACTTCACACTTCTCTCCTTTTTCTCATATACACACTCACACACACATACACACATCCACAATTGTAAAAAAAAACAATGGTACAAAATTTAATAATTACACAGTTTTCTATGGCATGATCAAAATTGTAGAATTACTTCCTCAGCTTATCTAAATGACATTTCCCACGACCCCATTCTCATTTAGTTCATTATGTATATAGTTCAGTACCCTAGTAGGTAAGCCAACATAAAATCCTTCTTATCTAATTATCTATACTTTTACTCCTAATAGTAGTTTTCTCCACAAACACGTCTATTCCTTTCCTAATGCCACAGTTCTTTACCTGAAACAATATCCTCTAATCATGAAATTGTACCTTGCCATTATTTTTGTATTTCTCATATACTTCTTCCCATCTAATCTGCAAAACAATCTACCTAAAACTCAATTCCATTAACATTATATCCCTATTTAAAAGTCTTAATTCCATTTAATTTCTACAGAAAAGAAAGTTCCTAATACTTGTCATGGCTTTCACAATTTTCAAAGACCATCCCCAACAATGCTTTCTCATTTTATTTCACACCAATTTTTCTCAAGCACTCTTCATTCTACCCATCTTGAACTTCTTTACTTTTTTCCCAGCATACTGAATTTCATTTTCTCCATTATTTAGCACTATTATTCCTTTTGTTTGAATGTCTTATTTGCAATATCTGTGAGAAATACTATTCATTCACTAAGAACTATTTTCAAATCTCCACTACAATTCTTGGTGCTTTTTGGAAAGCATTAATGACATCACAATAGTTTCACATGTATCACATCTCCCATATGAACTGCATACCATCTACAATAAAGTTAGTTGGGACACACATCAAAAAACATTTAATGAAGATTTTTCTAGCTTTTTTTTTAATACTTAGGTTTTAAACATAACAGGGTAACATAATTTTTCTACAGGGATATTCTCATTAAATTCAGGGATATAATAAAAATTCTAATGGGAGCGACAATTATTGCACTATAAGGAGTGCATTGAATAAGTAAGGGTTTCACATGTTTTAATATGAAGGTTCAAGTAGTAAATGGAGAAAACAGGAAATAAATTTTTATGAACTTCTTGACATCAGCAGTTCTATTGACAACAAAGGATGCCCAATGATGTAGCAAGTTACCATCAGTATTCTTTTCCATTGGCAATAATGGATGAGACAGCAAACAATGACACCTATCTATTTTCTGTGTTGTTTGTACCAGAAGCCTCACTGGATGCGTTTTGGGTGTGGGGGGGGGGGTGGAGGAAGAGAGTCCCAAGAGAATATAACTGTTAATGAAACTGCACCTGCAGCTCTCTCCTTGGTATATAGGTTGCACAGATGTTCAGACTCTGAAATACAGTTCACTCTACTTTGGGAATATCCAAGGATCCTAGACTGTAGGGTCTGCTCCAAGGTCTCCTCCAAGGTCATCCTAACTAAGGGTCAAATCCAAAAACCTATCCTTCTCCAATTCCCATAATGGTTTCAACCTCAGAGGAGAAATGACAATGTCAACAAAATATTACATAAAGGATCATGTACTGGAACACTGAAAATCTTACCAAAGTCATTTCTTCCACTCCCATATTTCCCTTCTGGCAAAAATGACTTAATTATGAATCTGAATACTGTAGGAGTAGGTTTCTATGGCATCCTTAGTCTGAGTCAGGAGCCACAGACCTTTGATCTAAAGTAATTCAAGCAGAGAGGTAAAATGTGTACCATGCAAATCAGAACAACCATGAGCTCTTTCTTTTACCAAGAGGCTGGAGCTAAGTAAAATATCAAATGTCCCTCAATTCACCAATATGGGGGCGGGGGACAGAAAGTGAAGGTCAAAAAAAAGTACTAATTTTTCTGTTATTTGAAAATATATTTAGAGAGCATATTAAATCATAGGCAAACTATTTTTGCTTCATCTAACCCGCAGTTATTTTGTGCGTAATGCAAAGCTTTTGGCTTATGAACTAGTAAGTGTGTATCAAAATTCTATCACATCCTTGTTAGACTTTCCAAAAAACGGTTTACTAGAAATTCAATACAATGAAGTAGGAGCTCACCGTTTCTTTTAATAACACGAGTCTGCTGTTTCATCTGATCATTGGGGACGCCGTAGATTTCTATAATCACCAATGTGTCAGCTTTGTTAGAAGACGAGTAATTGCTAGGAGGCAACTGGACACCGCTGATGAGCTGCATGAAAGCACCGGACACAAGAGCTGAATGGGACTTTGTGCTGCACCACCACTTAATTTCAAAATATTATTCAAAAACATCAATGATCTAAGTTTGCACCACAACATTAGAACTGGAAAATAATGCAGATTATAAAATTTAACTTTTATCCCAATATCTCAAATACCAGCAAAAGCTCATGACTCAACTCTCTTCCCCCCATTGCCGTTTTTTTTTTAAGATTTATTAATTTATTTATGTATACAGAAATGGGGTACAGGCCAGAGATGCGGAGGGTGAGAGGATTCACCAGAGACAGAGTGGGGAGCAGAACAGGCAGATCTGCTGAGGGAAGCAGCGGGCAGGTCAGGAGAGATCTGCCGCACCCTGCACCATGTGGTCACCTCCGGGGCAGGCGGGGATCAAACTCATGCTGAAATGGCTTAAGCTTCTTAGTGCTGTGCTTTAACCCGCTGTGCCACCAGGGAGGGCCCCCATTGCTGTTTTTAAAGTATTTTGTTAGGTTGCAACCTAACAAAGCTTAAAGGCTGCCTTACTATCACCTTGTAAGACAATTCAGGCAGAATTACAGTGAAAGCATCAACTATTTATCAACTACTCTTGCATATATGTAGCATAAACTTGGAAATAGTATGAATATTCCTTCTTAGGAAATCCAAAATAAAACCACATAATATCCTATTACTATATTTTCTCATAGAATTTATATTTTTTATTAATTTATTATGAAAATTTGCTTTGTCCATTGTATCACAAGGTAACCTGAGTCTGACAAAATCAATTATTTCACATGTTTAGGAGGGACCGAGTATGAAAAGAATGCATAATTAACGAAAGATAGTTTTATGAACAAATTCCAAATAAAAAACAATATTTGAAATGCACCAGTTAGAAGTAAGAAATGGGAGATATAGCTAAATATGAAACTGTAAAAAAATTGAGATATGATTTCAACTTCTGGAAATTATAGTAAAAGGAACAAATAATCAATTTTAGAAATAAAAAGAAGGAAGGGAGAGAGGCAGGAGGAAGAGAAGGAAGGAGGGAGGAAGAAAGAGAGAGGAAGAGAGAGAAAGGTTGACAATGTATACTTTTTCCTGTCTTAAATCCACACATTTTTGATGCAAGCTAGAAACCCGACTGACATTCCAAATATCTACCAATCAATATGGAATAATAAGATATCAGGTAAAAAGAAAGTATTTGGCTATAAATAACTAGTACAAAGATATCAAAGTCTACTAACTGAGCATTAGCGTCACAAGTAATAGACCTATACCAATATGGAAAAGGCTCAATCTGGTACATCTTGTGCCAAAGCAAACAGACATTATCCAACTAAAAACAAAAAATTGAATTTGAGAAATGAAACAAAATTTAAAGCTTTTTGGTCAAATAACTTGCACATCCTGAGTGATGAGACGTTTCCAGAGTTCAGCTCAAAGGATGGATGTCAAACAGAAAATCCTCTGTTGCCAACCAGAGTAGCTCTGCTTTCATCTATTGGCCTTAGAAAACAGTAACTTAGTACCAAACTCTTAGTTTGCAGGTGACAAACATTCAATCAGAAAAGCTGGAAGACTGCATCAAGGACATAGGAAAGCTGAAGAGACAACTGGACCTTTGACTTCTGAGTCATGCTCTCCACAGCTTAAGACCTCAAGTGTGAATGCCACAAAGTTCCCAAGAGGGATGGAGGAAAAGACCCTCATGGCCATGATATGCTGCCTAGGAAAGACATTAACCCTACCTGCTGCATTCCATGCTTCATACACCCCTACATTATTGACACTTCTCAGACTATATACAGGTATCATTTGTAAACATCTGTGCATCCTTCATTTCTTAATTTCCCCATTAAAGGGCACATATGTCCATTGTCAATGTGTAAAAGACATCTTACATTTCAGCCAACCTAAACCAGGTATCCTGGATAAAGATCATACAAAAACAATGAACTCACCTTTAAAGAACTCAGACACAAAGGGAAGAAAAGCAAGCCAACAAATAAACAATTATAATTCAATGTGCTAAAGGCCATAATATGTGGAAACACAGGATGTTATGCAAAAACAGAAGATTACAGAAAGACTAAAATTTAGCATAGGGTAAAAATTTGAAAAAGAAGCAACTGTTAAGTCTTGAAAAATGAGTCCAAAAACAATAGTAAAGTGAAGGACAGAAAAATAATCCTGTAAAAGGAAATAAATATGCAATACATAGAGGTGTCATCATGGACAGAAAAGGCTTCAATGTCCAAATTTCTTATGGTTACAAAATAGGATGAAAGGCGACACGTGGTGGAAATAGCACTAGATAAGTAGACAAAGACCTGATTAAAAAAAAAAATCAGGAGATCAGGAAACAATTATTAGTTAAGCATGGTAAGATCAACACTGCAGATTAGCAGGGCAGAGGCAGGTTACCTGAAAACCACTTAGAAGCCAAAGAAATAGATGTGATGACAAATGCCTTTTAAAATGGCAGCCACAGGGCCCTCCCTGGTGGTGCAGTGGGTTAAAGCACAGCACTAAGAACCTAAAGCCACTTCCCCATGAGTTCGATTCCCACCTGCCCCAGAGGTGATCACATGGCAAGGAAGACCTCTCCTGACCTGCCCGCTGCTCCCCTCAGCAGTGTACTTCATCGCTCTGCCTGTTCTGCTCCCCACTCTGTCTTTGGTGAAGCCTCTCGCCACCCCTGAGCCTCTGGCCTGTACCCCAGTTCTGTAAGCACAAATAAATAAAACTTTAAAAAAAAAAAAAATGACAGCCACAGGGCCCTCCCTGGTGGTGAAATGATTAATGCACAGCACTATGAAGCTATTGCAGCCACTGAAACTCAAGTGTGATCCCCGCCAGGGAGGTGACCCACAAAGCACAGCAGTTTTGGTAAATTGCTGTTCTCCTGGCCCACCTGATGTCCCCTCAGCAGTGTATTTCAGTCCATCTGCCAGTTCTGCTCTCCACTCTGTCTCTGGTGAAGCCTCTTACCTCCCAGCACCTCTGGCCTGTACCCCAGTTCTGTATGCGCAAATAAATAAAATCTTAAAAATAGATGACAACCACAATTGAGATATTAGACCAAGAAAATGGATATGGAGAACAGTTAGGAGAAGGATAGAACTTAAAGATGGACTGAATATGGGAAACGATGAGAGATATAAAAGAGAAAAATGGCTCCAAATTTGCCAGACTGAATTAACCCAGTCAGTTAATTCAGCCCAGTTCAATAAAATTTAAATAAAATAGTAGATTTGAATAAGAAAAGATATTTAGGTTACATTTTCAGTTTGACAGATCAGTGATTAAATACAGTAGAATACTGTAAAGATGCCTTTATATTCCAAATATGAGGTCAAAGGTTTGAGCATTGTTGTTTGTTGAAACCACAGGTGTGTATAAAAGAAATAAGGGAAATGTTTAGTTTGCCATGAAGGTTAAGAAATAGCCAAAATTATCATGACTGTTTTCAGGCAGGTGGAGAGAGAGGAACAAAGAAAGCAAATGAGAAAAAATTACTCAGGAGGTAGGGGATAAAAAAGAGATGTAAAGCAAGGGGATTTGGGTAGAGCAGGAAGGGAGCTAAGAAATCTATCCGTCCTGCCCAGAACAACTAGCCTAATCATTCGAAATTAAGATTACTAGAACAGCGTAATTTATTGTATTTTTTGCTCATGCAAAAATTCTACGACCAGAAATCTTCCAAACATGGAAGGATGCAGAAATACCACCCACCTATACTGCCCGAAAAGATTCAAAATTCTAAAAGGCATTATGGGAAATCAAATGTTAATGTATGCTCTGTAGCTTATATAATAACCAAAACATGAGTTATTCATATTTTTTTTAATTTTTGTATTAAAAAATACAAAACAGATGCCCATAATAACATTGTAAAGTAAGATTAATGGCCAAGACTATACCCCACCCTAGAAAGATGCCAATTACTCAGCTTTTGGCAGCATCAATGTTGTGAGCCCTCTCTCCTCGGCCACTATAGGCTCCTATTAGAGTCACAAAGTCTTAACAGCCTGCACAAAAGTCAGCTTCATGTTTCATCGGCACTATTTCTGTGGTGGCCAGAATCATTTCCATCGCATTCATTCTTGCTTATACTCTCATCCCACATTAACTTCTGAAACCTCTCTTTCTCAGTTGGGACAAAAAGGTTAGGGCCTAAAGTTGAAAGAATGGCCCTACACCCCCCTATGCTGACAGTAAAGGAAGGGGCTGTGAGGGGAAGAACTGAGAAAGGCTGGAGGTTTCCTGTACTTTGACAAAGGGTTGCAGGAACAGGAGGGCTTCTCAGCCTGAAGGATTGTGTCATAACATGAAACACAGAAAACCTGTCTGGGAACAGCAATTTACCAAAACTGCAGACTCTGAGATGGTTCCTATTGCTGTAGGAGCAGCTAGTTAAATAGCAAGAGGAATCAAAAGACCACACCCACCCACTTTCTTGTAAACAATAGGAACAGATGCAATCTAAAACACAATTACTGATAATTAAGTGAAAAGGTTCAGTGATATTTTAAAAAGGAAACAAATACAATTACTGATAATTAAGTGAAAAGGTTCAGTGATATTTTAAAAAGGAAACAAATACAATCTTCTTCAAAAGGTTGTAGAAGAATAAGTTTTGTAAAGCTTTTACTACTGGAAACAATAAATTTTAAACAACTATTTTATTTCTGATGAAATTACACAGGGTATAATGAAACAAAAGATGAAAGTCAAAATAATAAGAAAGTACTCCAGGGAAAGATGCCACCTAGGATACAGAGAAAAATAAATATGTAGCAATATAAGGTAAATAATTATTAGGGGAACTAATAACAGGAGGAATAATGTATATCTGCATTAGAAGCAATAAAGAATGAAGTCAAATACAGAGGAAAATCAAATGCAGAGGGAAAAGGAAAATGATAAAGTAGTGTGGAAGACAGATACTCAGGAAAAACATACAGATAGTTTTGGTTTCTATACTTAGAAATTCAAATACTGAATTGCAAAAATCAATTTTTAAATATTAATGAAAAACAACTCCTACAACTTCCTATTGAATTTCTTTAAAAAGGAGGAAAAGAATATATCGACAGGTAATTATTTGTGTATTAAATGCTGACTCTATCATAATATTACATGCCTAAAGCCAATAGAATAATCAATCTTGAATGAAAAGAAGTTTTTAACCTCAAAATTTTTATTTACAGGTAGGTAATCATGCAGAAAGTCAGCAGGCATTTCTTAGATATATAAAGATGATAAAATACCACCCATCTATAGTATTTTTAAATTATAACAGAAATTGGACATCCCTGGTGGTGCAAGGGGTTAAGTCTTGACATTATGAAGTTATCTGTAGCCACTGCAGCACAAGATCCATCGCCCAGCCAGGGAGGTGACCCACATGGCACAGCAGTCCTCTCCTGTCTCAGCCACTGCTCTCCTCAGCAGTGCATTTCAGTAGATCTGCCTGTTCTGCTCCCCACTCTGTCTCTGGTGAATCCTCCCACCATGCCCTCTCATCTCTGGCCTGCACCCAGTTCTTGTATGAATAAATAAATAAATCTTTAAAAAAAAACGGAAATTTAAATGGCATTAAAGAAAATAATTGAAATTTAAATTTTAATGTATAACCATCCAATTTACATAATTTAGAAAAGGTAAAAGAAAAAGTTTTTAATCTTACCCTTATTGTAAGTGTAACTGGATTATTGTCTATTGGTATTTTATTTGGATCAAAATTTGATTTAAGATCTCTTAGGAATTCTGGTTTCAAAATATACCCAGAACCACCATTATCTAAAAATTTTCCATTTTGAAGATCCATTGGCAGACCAGGAGTCTGGAAATTTAAGGCCACTGTGAGAAAAAAGAATTTGACATTGTCAAGAGAGAGAGAATACAGCTAAAAAAACACAGGTAAATGATCAATTGAAACCAAATCATAGATAATATATCTTCAAACATCTTAAGAATAAACATCATTAAACATTTTCTCCTGCCATGTCTATATTAACTTATGAAAGTGAGTTTCAAAACTTAATATGCAAATTATTATTTCAGGTTGAGTTAGAAAATCGAAATAGTACCCAGAATATAGTATAACAATATGCATGTCAGATAACATTTAGGAAATATGAGAATAAAGAAAATCAGAACATTAATGCTGGGCAGAGATACCAACTGTATCATAAACTTTCAGCTCCAAAGAAGTACTTATGTCACTTAGAAGGAAGTGAGGAATAGTGATGGCAATGACTGCTGTTAAAATACATGCCCATAGGCTGCTAAATAGCCACGCTTTATGCCTTTTCCACTCATTCTGCATACCACCCTGAACCCACTCACTCACTCCCTCTTTGAAAACCTAAGGGTTTTCCACAATTCAGCAGCAAACGGGTTTACACTGGGCACTTTCTGACCTGCAAATGCTAGTGATAAACTACCTGCTCAGTTCAGAACAGAACAGAAAAGAACAGCAATCTGAGCCATTTTCAACACTATCAAGGTAGAATTTAGTGTAGTCTACAAAAGGTAGAGTTCACTTCATTTGAGAGACCCTTAGCAAATCCTACCAGTGAAGGACTTGATCTTCATTGTCTTCTCATACCTAATTTGTTTTTCTTTTCCCATCCTATACTTCCCCTGTTAACTATTTGTGAAGTTTAACCTCAATGCCACCAATCCTAACTTAACTCTATCTAACCCATTTAAGAGAACTTCAACTTTTCTTTATATGAAGCTTTAATTCATAAAGTGAATTAATTTTTCCAAAAAAAAAAAAAAATCAACCTCTATGTAACTTACCCATTTGACAACCTATATTCCAAAATTCTTGAGGGTTAAAATTAGAAGAATCAGCTCTCGTCGCCTTAGGATATATTCTGGTCATGAACTTCCTGGTATGAAGAATAAACTCTGGGGCTGAAAAAAATATTTCAGATAAATGAATTACTATACCTACACTTACTATATTGATATGTATTATCTTGACAAAAATAATTGCAATTCTAGAAATCAAAATAAGCATGTCTTTATGTTTGACATAATTATTCACTATTATAGAAAAGTTAATAGTTTATTAGGTAATTTTATATATATTAATCATTTGCTTGAGGGAAAAAAATGACTAAATAACATTCCTCTTTTCCTATTCCTATTTTTTCCTATTCAATTTCACTTTGACATAGAATATTTAAAACTCCAGAATAAAATGCATGTTCAAAAAATAAAAATATTGAGGTAATATCTTTCCCCCTTTTGTCTTTTTTTCACTTTGGTATCCATATTAGCATACAAGAGTGAGAATACATCACACAAAAATATATGATGCCGTCCAATTAACTTAGTTGAATACTTAATAGACTCAGGATAGAAAGAAATCTTAAAATTAGCCAGTTGTGATCTAAACTCTTAATACCAAAACACCTCTCCACCTCCACCAATAATTTCACTTTTGGTCGCCACCCACAATTTGCTTTTTAAAAAGCCCTAAAATATTCAATATCTCTTTAATTGATAGACTGACAAAATGATGTTTCAAAATATACAGAATCTTGAATCTTTCTAATAGTTTGAGAAAATGATAGTTCATCAAAGCATCTCGGCTTCCAGAAGCCAGCCCAACAAGGTTAACCAACCAATATAAAAGAATTAGCACTTCCAAACAGCCAACAAGCCAACAGCCTCTTTTTTTTTTTTTTTTTTTTTTTTTTAGCAGTTGCAGATACCAAATTTCCTGCCAAGTTATTTCTATGCAACATGGTAGGTTGTTATTTTTAAATATGTAGATGTTAATGTTTTAGAAGGCTTTGGAATCACCTGAGTTTTCAGTAAATTGCCCATCCCTTTGAATTGGAGGCTATCCCCTGCCATATTCATCTGAGGAGAAAAGGTCTGATTCCCATTCTCTTTGCCAAGCAGGTCTCTCTTGTATTTGGGCTCTACCAAACAGAACAACCCACCTCAGGTTTAGACTCAAAAGAGAGTGGAAAAAAAGGTGCAAGACAAATGGCACCTGCACACACACACACACACACACACACAGAGCACACAGCACACAGCACAGTCATCCCTTAGTCTAGCCTAGAGGCACCTCTTGTTCCTTTGACCTGAGACATCAGCCTCCAGGTCTATTTGGCTCCACCTCTGAGATGTCCACTGAATCCACACAGCTCATTCTAGCTCTACTCTCCAATTGTCAGATTCACCACCTCTTCCCTGCCTGCAGTCCTACTTACCTCCTGCTCTATCTCAGACAACTTTCAGAAACACACAGTGGCTCATGTGATTCCTGAAATTTCAGTCTTTATCCTGTTCATCTTTGATCCAGAACAATTTGACTTACAAGTTCCTTGCTACTAGGTTCTGCCTATTTCTGCAGCCCTGTCACTCAACTGCTCGCCTCATTACCACCTAGCCAAGTATCCATATTAGACATCCTCAATCAAAATTTCCTGAGTTAAACAAATTAGTGGTTGAGTTTTCTAAAATACCACTTAATGTGACCTGAGTCATATACACTCTTCTTAAATAAAATGCAAAATAAAAATATCATGAGAAAAAGTCATTTTTTTTACATAACTATCATTGACCAACCAGATACCTCAACAGTGAATACAACTTGCTTAACTACTTCATCTATTTGAATCATAAGAATTTACCTCTCAACTTGCAAAGTTTTCGGGCTCGTGTCTCCCCAATAGAATTAGTTTCATTAAATTGTTGATAGAGTCTTGAATATTGAAAGCTTCTAAATTTCTCAGCTTTAGTATAAATGACAAGATCAGATAGGGCCAGAGCTACTTTTCCCTTTGAGGTGTGAAAATAAAATGTCATTGAAAACTTGCTTTTCCAGTAAAGAAAATAGACTATCACATCAATGATCTTAATTTCTACATATCTCCTAAAAGTATTTTATGACTTTTTAATGAATGTACTGTTTAATGCTAATGAGACAGCTAAATCTAAAATCCCAATTAATATAGATACAATATAATAATAATTAATACAGATCTCAGTAAATACTTATAAATTTTACAAATTTAGGAATTTTGGTCATGCCTAAGTATATTTTCAGTATGATCTATCATTTGGGGACAAATTCTACTGTGTATTGTACATTTGCTTTTCTACAGGCCAGCATCTATAACCTATATACCTCTGTTAGCTCCTCTCCATGGTTCATTTCTGGGGAGCATTCCTTTTCATGCTCAATCTATGTGTTTAAGTATAAATGTGGCTGGAGACTAGCTGATCAGCTCTAGCAATAGTTAGTTGTTCAGGGATGTACACAAAACTGGAGTATAATCAGTGAACATAAAGAATTTGTGCAGTGAGGTGAGCAGTAGATATGCCCGCCACTGGATTTGAACCTGAAAGTATGTGGAGTTGAAGCTTTTCAAGTCTTGTATAAATAAAGAGAAAGTGAGATCAAAGTTAGCAAAAGAAATTTCTGCAGGTTTTGCTTGCTATATTATACCAAGCATATCTTGAAATATAATCCTTTTTCTTGAATTTTGTGTTTATGTGGGCCAATTAATTCTCATTTTACTTAATTCAGATGAAATGACTTAATATCACATGCAACCTGATATGTTTTTTTAATTATACTAATTAATATGCTCATAATACTATGCATGATAAAGTGATTTTCTTGTATTTGATAGTATGATCTCCTTGAGGGCAGAAACATTATGTTGCTTATCTCTACCTGTATGCATTACAGTACCTTGCACATAAGATGCCTAATATTTGTTGACTATGGAGGGAACAATTAAAAACAGCTGACAAAGAGACAACCTTTAAAATATTCTTCACTACTAATTTTTCTGAACAAATTTTAAGTGATAGAATTTCCAAAAGGAGGAAAAAGATTTTTCTACAGCTCCTTCCCCATTTCCAAATTCTTAATAAGAAAATAAGACACCTCTTCAATCACTTATTAGATTTTCACAAATCTCACCCTCTTTTTCTTGAACAGTGGTAATCCAACTGCACTTGATTCTGGTTGCTTTTCTAGACTGTATTCTGAATCTTTAATTTTGTAGTAGTCGTCCTCTTGATCGTCCTCTTCTTCATATTCTTCTACTTGACCATGCTTATTAAAACCTTTCCTTTCCCGGGTTTCCTTTAAGCTTCCTATTTTCTTATTTTTAACTAATATTTTGAATTTTAATGCCTACAGAAACAATTTCAAAGAGAAATACAATTACACATTTACAGATAAGTTTGCATTTGTGGCAGTAATTGAAAAGTCTTTTGTCATGCATGATGCGCAAGAGTTCTATCTTTTCCCATATCCAGGGACATTATTGATAATGCTGATTAAAAAAATACCCCAAATAAGACTATTAGGATTGTGACTGTAATTCCATTACTTTTACATTCCTTAAATGATGACAATTCAAATTAATGAAAATACTTCACAAGTATGTACATAGGGGCATATTAAAATACTTGCAATGTTTCAGAAGTTAGACTATTATAACTTCTTGTAGTTAGACTTTGAGGTCATTACTCCTTATCCAACATCACAAAGTATTAAATGGCATCAAGTGGATAGTATAAACTATAACACTATCCGATAGCCTAAACTGAAATCCCACAAAAGCATCACAAACAGAATACTCCCTTTCCAACAAAACTAGGAATGTAACAAAATTCAGCACCAAGGTCATCGGTTCTAAATCCAGTCTTTTTTTCCTTCATTCCCACAGTTATTCCTTCCCCTTTCACATAGCCACTGCCTTATTAAATAAACTTATTAAGTGCCTGTTATGTTGTATACAGCAGAATCTTTCATATAGTTCTGCTGAAATCTGGACTGTGAAGTAAATTTCTTTCCTTCAACCTGATTGCTCCTTCTCTGGTATCCTCAGGTACTGGCTTCCACTACCATATCACCTCGGGTCTTCTCTTTTCCCCCATGCCCCTACTATGACAGAGTGCACCTGGATTAATGCAACTGCCTTTATCAAAAGCATTGCCTATTAAAGGAACAGATAACTCAGATCTACTTCAGATTTAGAGATTCTTATGTAGTGAGACTGGAATGATGTGTGTTTAACAGTTTCTAAGCAATTCTCTTCTATACTGAGAATTATATCACAAAATGACTTTATCTTTAATGCTTCATTTACTCATTGGAAATTGTCTGCTAACTTTAGTATTAGGAGTGTTTAATAATGATGTATTTTGGATTGCCAAAAGAGAGACGTATACGTAGGAGGAGGAGGGATTTCATTCCTAGAAAGCGAAATCTTTTTATCATTTCTGTAGTAGACCATGACTCTTACATTAAACCTTTCTGATATGTTGCTGCCATTTTGTATAAAGTATTAAACATTTCTTTTCTGTCAAATTTGAACACATTTGTTTGTATAAGGCCTAAGAGTCACAGTTTTGATTTGTTCAATCTATTTTTTGTTCATTTTCATTCTATCATGAGCCCTATAGTTCTTTTCACTAGTATCGCAATATTTTAAATTGTCCATTTAAATAAAGACAAGTGTAAAGTGAAATGTTGACATATGAACACACATAAAACATTGCTCTATCTACTGCAGTGATAACATGTTAAAACTAAACTACTGGCTGTTGGACACTGTTACCATGAAAAAAGAGAAAAAGTTCATTTGTCAGGTGATAAAATTTAGGTCCAGCAGAGGAAACTAGAGGGAATGGCCAGAGTGGAATGGGGAAATCTAGAGAAAATGCAGTTCAGAGAGTGTTTCAAGGAAAGGAGGGAGGCTTCCATGGTAGTGAGTGCTGCACAGGGAACAAGTCAGATGAAGACTGACCCAGATCCACTACAAATACTCGAAGGGAAGCCACTGATGATATATCAGATACTGACTGTGGTGCAGGTGAAAGAGAAAGACTGATGGGTAGGTTGGAAGGATATAGAAATTTGGCCTGTGGCAGGATTTCATCAATCAAAGAGCCACCTGGAGAGAGAACTGAAATCCTGAGAGTGGGGCTATTATTTTTAAATCAAAAACTTGAATATCCCACCTAAAGACAGAAAGGGACCTGTGGACACAGGCCACCCTAGTGCTAGGATCTGGCAGACTTAGTAACCTAGGTCTTTGCCACTTTCTCAGCCTTTTGCCTATATAAAAAATGAAATTCCTATATTCTTATACTAACTTTAAATTTTGGCTTCATGGGATATGATACAAATAAAATGTGAGGTTTTACATACACTTATTTCCATTTTCTCTTTATCAAAATACAGTTACCTAAATGCTCACAGGAACATTTCTAGGCAACACTTAGCAAAGATACATTCTATAAATAATCAAAAGTACAGATTTCCACAGATTTCTAGCTTAGTCTTATTGGCCAATGTAATAGTGACATGCTTTATCTTCTTTTTTTTTTTTCTTTTTCTTAACCTGAAGTTCTCAGACAAAATGTTACCTCTGGGGATGGTAGTTTGTCTGGAAAATCATCAAGCATATCAGAAAGCAAGGCATCTCCAAAAGTAGATTGCAAATTGTCTGCCATCACTTCTTGTTGGGAAGGGGAGCAATGATTTTCTAAAGAGAGCACCACTGGGTAGTCAGAGGTCTAAAAAATTAACCATTACTATAGTTATTGATCAGCACAATTCAACAACTATAATGCAATTAATACAAGCACTTAGTCAGTATTAAACTTCTATTTAACACTCAATACCTTAGTTAAATAAGTATCCTTTAAGTAAATTATTTTTGAGTTTGACAAAACAGGGAAGACAATATAAAGGAAAAGTATTAATATTCACACTAGAAGTGTAAGAAACACTTATAGCATCCACCATCAAACTTGTTCAAATAAATTATGCCATAACTTATAAGATATAGGAAAGTTATTCTATATATATGAAAGTTATCTAAAATATAATCCTGTGATAGAAAAAATTGTCATAGTGTAGGCATATTCATTTTAATTTTTTGAGGGATAACTGACATGGAGCATTATACAAGTTTCAAATGTACAATATGAGCCAGTATATGCACATATTATAAAATAATCACTGCATTAAATATAATTATCATGTGTCACCATACATAGTCAGAATTTTTTCCTTGTGATGAGGACTTTTAGGATCTATTTTCCTAGCAAGTCTCAAATCTACAACATGTTATTAATAACTATAATCCATACTGTTGACTGTTACATCCCTATGACTTATTTTATAACTCAAAGTTTGTACCTTTTCTTTTACCTTCTAATTATTTAACCGATCACGTCTACATCCTAACCCTTCCCCTCAGTAACCTCTAATCTGTTCTCTAAGAGCCTAATATTTTTTAACTGTGAGGGAAAATTCTGACTTTGGGTAAAGATAAGGGAAATGTTATTTTTCCACTTTTTCAGTTTTGAATTCTAGGATAAAAATATCATTGACATATCTAAAAATAAAGAAATTTTTTTAGAAGTAACATTAATTAACAACACTGTGTATGATATAGAAGCGTAGGGGCTCACCCTTCAGGTGAGCCATGTCCCAATAATGATACAGAGGCTCCATCTATTACTTAAAGGGGTTTCTAGAAGTACTTTCTAATATTTATCATCACTGTAACTTTGGAAGTTTACACAAAGTAGAGAACAACCTGCATTTTGATATATATGCAAAATTTTTTTTTTCATTTATAAATCAGGGCATAAGTTCACCAGCTTATAAGCCAGCCAGAGAATTTCAAGAACTACTGCATTACATAGACCTTTGAATAGGAGATAAAATATTTAGGTATTTTAAATATATGAGTCTATTAGAATCCTGAGGCTGCCATAACAAATTTCCACAAACGTTATTGTTTGAAGCAAAAGAATTTGATTCTCTCACAATTTTAAAGGCCCAATTTTAAAATCAGTTACACCATTAAAAAATCATACCTACAGACAAATTTATTCATTGCCAATTCCAACTTCTGGTGGTGGACAACATTCTTTGGCTAATGGCCATCTCTCACCACTCTGCCTCTCTCTTTCACACATCAGCTCTCCCTCTACATGTGCTAAATCTTCCTCTGCTTCTCTTTCATAGGATACACATGACCACATTTAGGGTACATTCAGATAGTCCAGGAAAATCTCATCTCAAGGTCCAAGTTTTAACTTTACCATATCTGCAAAGACCCTTTTTCCTAAATAATGTTGCAGGTTCCAGGAATTAGAAACTCACATTGGGGGGGGGGTGTATTACTCAGTATACTACAATAACTGTTTCATATATATACACACTGATTCAGTGAATTGGCAAGGGAACAGAGTAAATTTTTGGAATAAATATGAGAAGTGATTTTGAGACTGGGTAAGGTAATGAGCTAGCAGGTGGACAACTCCATTAGGTCCTGACTTCACTCACCAGGTGGGGGTAAGAAAGGGAATCATTTATTTTGTTTTATTTTATTTTTGTCTTCTGTGGTTCTTGGCATTCCCTTTTAAAGGATCCTCTTATCTTTTATTCTCAGCCATGTATAATGTAAGCATTAAGGAATTTGCTTAAAGTCAAGCAACTTTTGGAGCACACATCTTAATTAATTGTTGTTTTAAGATCATTTAAGTTAGATTTGTGGGTTTTTTAATTTTCTGATTAAATAATTTCCTCAGAACTTAATTCCTTATGTATTTCTTCTAGTATATTACATGTACCAATAACTATACCTAAATTTCTTAGTCACAATTATGTCTATTTTATTTCACTGTTTTCTCTTTTCCAATAAAGGTGACTATCTCAAGTAAAAAGCTGCACTTCAGTCTAACCTTTGCTGTAAACTGAATCACCCTATTCAACTGAGAAATCTGGAACTTTACTGACAGTCATCTTTTTTTTTTTTTTCCATTCCATCTCTTGCTCTTTGGATTATCAGAAGCTGTAAAGATTTCCATCCTTGTAAGACCTTTGAATTTTATGACTGTCTCTGTTTCCTGTATTTCCTAAGTTGCCTGCCCTGAATGAAGTGAGTTTGCTATGCAAACAGTATTTCAATAGAGAGCAATTATATATATATATATATATATATGTCTTTAGAATTTTCTAAAACAGATTTAGGAGGCCAGAGCAACCAAGTAAGCAAGGGAGAGGTGGGTATGAGCATTCAGAGGGAAAACATTAACAGTCACATAGGACCTGGGGAATCATAGTATAGATTGTTGCTTTTATTTTTATTGGGATTGAGTTTTGAAAAGGGGAATGGCATGCTCTGACTTACAACAAAGGTCACTCTAACAACACAGTGAAGTAAAACTTGGGGGAGAAGGAAGGAGCAACATTGGATAAGAAGCCAGTGTAATAATTCAAGTGAGAGGTGATGGTGGTTATCAGGACAGTGACAGTAAGAATGGGATTTTAGAAATGGTTAGATTCAGTATATATTTTGATAGCACAGACTAGAGTATTTGTTAAAGAACTTACTTAGGCATCACAGAAAAATGAGGAGAGGGTTAGAGCAGACAAAGTGAGTTAGGGCTGAGCACATAGAAAGAGCCAGAAGACCATGGGGAAAAAAGGACTGGGAGGAAGGAATATCAGCAGCTCAGTTCTAACATGTTAAATGCCAACTGGACATCCAAGTTGAAAGGTCAAGTAAGTAGTTGTTGGTGTAGAGTTCAAAGGAGATGTACAGGTAGAGATATAAATTAGAAATCATGAGAAATTTAGATGTTTAAGAGAATCAATACCAGACAGCCATGTTTTTATATTAAATTTCACATTTTATGTTTTATGGCTATTTGGCATAGTGTAATTCTAATACACTAGCACTATGATTCAGCTCTGTGATTTTAGGCTTAGATTTACAGATAATTTATTGACACTTTTGGAAAAACTTTAGGTTTATCATATTTGTGAGATTAACAGTGCTTAAATATCTATAAAGATTTTGTTGAATCAGTCTAGCTGTACTATGATGGATGTACTTAACTTATACTAAGTTTACCAAAGAGTTTTAAATGTCTATAGTACATATGTTACAGTTGTAAATGGGACGAAATATTATTCAAAGTTGAATGACTGTTAAAGTCTTCTAGGATTAATAACCTGAATTTATAATGGCTATAAATAATCCAGATATTTGAATCTAAAGCAAATTTCTAAATATCCTTTACTATATGAATTCCTGTCATCATATTCAAAGTATTAATAACTGAGATAGGACGTTTCTGACATTTTATTTTTGTGTTTTAAAGCAAAGTAAAATAGTAGAATACTGGTAAAATATTAACTATTACAAAGCACAGTATTTTAAGTCTTTTTTGGCCATGCCTCAGAGCATAAAATGCATTTTTCATTGTATATACATTATAACATACACACATTATATCTATTGTATAATTAAAAAGGAAATTCTATGAAACATGTTGAAATAAGCTGTAATAAAGTTACCTTGAACTATATACTTCCAGGTGGATATTATATGCTACATATATACTATATACTTTAACCAGATGGATTTCATTGCCCATAAACATATAATACCCAAAACTTGAAATATTACTGAACTCACCTAAATTTCCCCTTTCTTCCCCAAACTTGAAATATTACTGAACTCACCTAAATTTTCCCTTTCTTCCCCAAAGATGAGAATCTTAACTAGACTATTTCAGTTAGTCTGTCAAGCAACATGGGTAAGTTGCTCAGTCATACAGGTCTGTCCCACATTTATAGGTATACATGTTATGATTAAAACTTCTCATTGACTTTTTCTATTACAAAAAGATAAACTAAAGTGACATATCATAGGATTTTGAAACAAGTAATTTATAATGAGTTTAAGTAAGTATACTTTAACCAAGACATGCACATACTATGAATGCATATTTCTGTATCGCTTGGATAACAGTCTTAAACAGAAGTTTGCTGGTGAGGGTGTAACCATGGTAGACAACAGGTTCGTTCTGTGATCCATCCCAGCAGTCAATTTCCAGACATCGGCATCCCTTCACAAGAGCACTAACAAAATTTGAACAAAACAAATTGTCATTCTGGGCTCACAAAACATGAAGGCCATAGTCTCAAAATATTCCCAAGACTTTTGATGATTTTGCAATAAAGGCATAAATGATTCCATAATAAAAACAAAGTGTTACCTGAACTAACATTCTTTTCTTCTTCTCTGTGAGCACAGCCTTACCGAACACTTATACATGCTAGCACAGAGGAATGTCAGCAAGGTGACCCCATGTGTAGTGCTGCGGATTCTAACTCCCACTATTTCTATCCATTCCTTACATGCTAAGTTCTACAAGAGCAGGAACTAATGTTTTAGCCCCATATATACATGTTTAATAAAGTTTTTGCACACACACAAAAGAATAGCTATAAGCTTTATACTATAAAAATGGGAACTATACGATGTAAGAAGGAAAGTGGAAGGCAGATAGAAGAGATTCCTAACTGCAATTTTGAAAAAGAAAGAACTGGCTAAAAAAACAGCTTGAAACCCCAGGATCTTAGATTTGATACATGTGTTTTAGGGAGGAGTTCAAAGTACCCCCTTGCCATATATGAAGACATTTTTCTTATAGAAAACTAAGTTAATACCAGTTTTCTGAGACGTATATAAAATCAGTACATGGTCTCTAGGCAGCAGATCTGTAAGAACAATTTTCATTCCCCACAGACATTTAGCAATGCCTGGCTACATTTTTTTTTTTTTTTGGCATGAATGGAAATGAAAGGGGGTCTGCAGCTGGCATCTATAAGGTGGAGGTTAGGGAAGCTGCTAAAGCTTTTACAATGCACCAACTCCCCACCGTGGAGATAAATCTGATCCAAAATGTGAATAATTTGAAAAACGCTGCCCTGAGCAATAACAATCTGGTGTGATACCACTACCAAGTGTTTGATATATAATCAACCTTTCTTCCCAACAGAAACACACACTACCCAAATAGACCATCTGTGAAAGTAGACATTTTAGATCTGGCATTTCTTTGGAGATCATATTTAGCCAGTTTTCTATGGAGAAGATTCAAGCAGTATTTAGGTAGAGATCTAATCAAGAAAAGTTAAAACAATCCCGACACTGAAGTTAAGGCACTGAAGTCAGGGGTAAAAGGACCTTTCGCCCTTTGTAATAATACAGATAGAAGGAATTTAAGTAGGCAGGGAAGGGAACTGTGAACCTCATCAATCTTAGGAACTTCACCAAAACTATACAAAACATAAAATTACTAAGAAATTCTTGTTGAGCATTTTTTTAGTTTGGTTTCTACAACCATATTTGCACTTATTAAGTGCATGGGCTTTTTCAGGCATGTACTGATATATTTTTCAGGCATATAGTGATATGATATTTCCATTAATGAATAAGGTGAATAATTTGGGGTACAGTTCCTAAATTGGATTATATCTGTAGAATTCAAAATGAATATATTTCGCAACTCATAGACTTATTGGGATTTTAAGTTGGGGAAGAAACAAAATCTATTTGTAACATTTGTTAGTTGTCATGAAATAATATCTGTGTTACACTTCTCTCAGTTGACTGTCAATGTAAATTGTCTTGCACTTCTCATCAACACAAAATATCAGCTCTCTGGGCTCCTACCAGCAAACAGTCTTGACTTCTCTGCTGGGAAAACAAAAATCTACTAAAATCTCAGCTGTGGAAGAAAACTTCTCATGAAGGACTGACTAAATAATATTGATCCTTGCTACTTCTCTACTTTTATTTTTATCACTATATCAAGTCAACCATCAGCAAACTATTTTTTACTACTTAGTTTGGCCCCCAGCAAAATAATTTGATAGAGTTGCACTGTTTCATATTATCTCCTGTTATTCAGAGACAGGGAAGAGAAAGGCCAGCCTTCTCCACTGCTATTGAGATCACTTTCCACTCATTCCCCTTTTTGAGAATGAATGATGGAAATTTCTTTCTCACTATGTGAAGAAATATGTCCCCTAAAAAGCGTAAGAGACTTCTCTATTGAGATAATGATATCTGAAGCAGGACTTGAAGGAGATAGCTTTGTGAGTGGCTGAAGGAGGAACTTTTATTCCAGGCACAAGGAATAGTCAGAACAAAGACATTAAAATAGAGAGTGTTAGGAATGTTTGAGAAATAACAAAGCTTGCAGTTATCATGAGTGAGCGGGGAGTTTTGGCTGTGAGGGTTTAGAAAAGATGCTGGCCAAGTCCAGTTGGGTGTCTGGACCACAGTCAGGAGTGTTTTTACTCTAAATGAGGACTTACTGGAGAATTTTGAGGAAATGAATGACATGATATAGCATATATCTTAATAAAATAATCGTTCTAGCCAAATGAAGATACATTTTCCTAGCTTTGCTATTATCTATCACTTATTCCTTCCTTCTCCAAATAATATGTTGTCAAATCTCCTTCCAGGTATATATACAGTTGCCTAAATCTCCTTGAAATAGGTACCTAAAATAAAATAAAATGTCAGTCTGATATCAGAGCAAGAGACTATAGCAATACTCTAATCAATTAACATTTTGGCATCCAAATACAGTTAATTCATATTGAAGGTTTTTCAAATAAAATTTCTGTCTGGTTTAAACTGTTTTTAAAAAAAAGAGCATAAGAGGCTTTTCTTAGGTTAAAATACTGATTATCACACAGTTAATATTAGTTTTCCTCTCTTGAAGGTGAGAAAATAAAAGCACAAAGAGGATGTATCTACTCACATACTTAACAAATGAGGGAAAGGTAGAAATGATCAACATTAGAAATATAAATATTAAAAGGCACACATTACAACATACTGCGTTTAATGAGTACAGAAGTTTTGATAACTTGCAATCAGAATGTGCACCTTCCCAAAAAGAGGGGTGGGGAACAGATGTGTCTTCCACAAATAAGAAGCAGAAAAAGAAATACTATTAAATTCATATTTGATTTTTAGTTTGGCAGAATATTTCTGGGAATTCAAAATTAATTTTCTGTGTTTCTAAACTAAATATTATATTATCATTTTTAAAAGAACTAAGTAAAAGAGCATAAATAGAACTTTCTATAATGAAAATATGGTCACAAACTGAGTTATAATTACAGAATTTTAAATGGATACATTACTGAGTTTGAGCTCCTGAAGTAGACCTTAAATATTGAAGGCAGTATGTATTTGTAAGTTTAATAATACTATGGAATTATTAGAAACCTTTTCGATGGTTTTAAGTAACATGGCTGTGAATACCACCTGTATGCTGACAATCTCCAATTCTATTTTCCCATCTTGGTATCTCCTCTAAGAGCCTGACTATCTGATACATATAACTGACTATCACACCTAGCCACTTGATAACTAATTAATACCTCAAATCCAAGGTGGAAACCATTGAACTCTTGCTTCTGCCTCACAGCCTACAGTGGTCTCCTCACTCAGGCTTCAACACCTATGTCAATATTGTCATCACACACTATGTTATTCTTAGGCAAAAATATTTTGATATTCTTTTTTCCTCATTTCTCTCTTCAAATAACCTTATTAGTTTTGTTGGCTCAACCACCTTAAAATATTTCAAATTCAACCACTTATTCAACTACCACCTCATGAATTCACCATCTAAATAACCATTATCACCCAGGCAGCTTGCAAGATTTTCCCAAATCATCATCTACCTCTACATCACATTATCAACCTCAACTCTTTGGTAAAATGTAAAAATTATGACACTATCCTAAAGAAAACCCCTCCAATGCCTTCCCAAAGCATCTAGAATAAAATCCATTCTCCTTTCCAAGGACTCTGAAGAGGGCCCTCATAGTCAGATCATCAAACTTATAATCTTTTATTCTCCATTTACTTGGTTCTAACCACATTTTCTCTCTTACTCTTATTTAAATATGCCAACCACTTTTGCTTAGACTACATAGCATGTGCTTCCTTCCAGGTCTTTCTGAGCTTTCCTCTCATTCATTACTTAGACCACAATTATGTCATCCTCTGAGAAATATTTCTTGACCCTCTCACATGACACCCTCAACTACAGAGTTGCTTCCTATTACATTACCCTAGTTCATTTTCTCTATGTTAGTCCATGAAATTATCAACATATACTTAGTTATCAATAAGCCCATGAACACATTTTAAAATGTAAAGTGTTTAGAAATCAAAATAAATACCTTACATATCCCCAAAGATCACTTGGTCCGAGAAACTGGTCAGATATCAAGTATGTATTATGTGAACTTGAAATAAAATAATCATTTAATGGGTGAGTCATATCCTGGTAAACTTTTTCACATTCATTATTAAATAGTAGACATTCAGGGGAACCAATGTATCTTGTAAAACCTTCAAATGACATCTGGCGTGCTTGCTTAACTGTAAAAAAATAAGTTAAAAAGGATACAGAAATATTATTAAGTGTATAAAAATTATACCTCACTTCAAAACTTATTCAGTAACAAAGTATATTTCTCATATATGCATCTATGATTAATATAATTAATGTCAATGCTAGTTCTAATTTTTCTCTCAAAAAACAATTTTAAGGGATAGTCTTATTTTATATAAATATAATGAATAATGTACCATTTAATTATCTGATTTTTAAATATTATGTATAATATATATAAATCATAGATCAATAAATCTTCAGGAGCTAAACATAAAATTAAATAGCACCTCCATCAAAGAACAGAGCATTCTAGGCTGCTTCCTGTTAACTTTGCAACCTTTCTCCGCCACCCAAGTGGGGTCGGGCTTCTAATAGCATAGATTAGTTTTTTTCTGGAGTTTGTGCTTTATGTGAATGAGTTCATACAAAATGTGTTTTTTGTGGCTAGTGACATATAATTCAAAATTGTTTATTACCATTATTATATTGTATTCTACTGTCTATGTGCACCACAGTTTATTTACTGATTCTATATTCAGATAATTTCCAATTTAAGTTTATTACAAAGAGTATTGCTATAAGAAACCAATAGTTGTCCTTAATGCAAATATGTGCATATTTCTGTAGGATACATGCCTACAAATGGAACTGCTGGATTATTTGCATATTGTCATTTTTAGTAAATTATCTCTGAATTTTTTTTACTGAATAATTCTTTATACTCAGTATGATATACGAAAATTATTTATCTAAGCAGAACATTGGTTCTCCAGTTGGATAGCCTGAGTTGACTCCATTTGCTTATAATGAGCATGTTAGTTAACCTTCCCTATCTTTGGAATGATGGTGATCAGAGCACCTATCCCTATATACTAGCTCTATAAATGTCAGTTGCTTCTGTTCTTTTGATAATACAATTTGTCTCAAAATAAAGGTTGGTGTGAGTATTCACTTTAGAGAGTAATCCTTGGTAAAGATTTTATTTGTTGGAATTTATACTACAAAAACGGAAAGTCATACTAAGATTGATGTACAAGAATGCTCACACTAGCATTACTTATAAATGCAAAATAAGCAATATAAGGAAATAAATTAAAACCCAAATCATGACACAATGCTAAGTAGCCATTTAAAATAAAGTATAAGAAAAAATGTGTGAAGACATAAGTAAATGTTTATGACATTATAAAAGTGAAAAGTCACCATTCAAGATGCTATTACAATATTCTTTTAAAAAATAAATGCTAAGAGAAAATACATAAAATGTATATAGACATGCAAATCATTTCAAAGTCATGCACATTTAGGAATATGGGAGTTTATGGGGCAAGTTCAACATATATTATAATAGTAAGGATTTACATAAAAATGTTCTTATCCCCAATGCAATTTATCAGTGGTTGTCATACAGCCCATTTGAACTATTGAACAATGAAGTAATTTATTTTGTGACCCTAAAAATGACCAGATTGAGATAAGGCATTTGGAACTATAAGATCATAATTCAAACAGACCTTAATAAGTTTCTAACATTTTTCAACAATCAGGTAAATGAAAGTATCTCATGCAGGGCAAGTTATAAAAGATAAGATAGTTGAATATTGTTATTTTATAGTTAAATGCAGAACCAAGTTTAAGATGGTACAGACACCATGTCACATAACCCCTTTTAATTGGCCACCTGCCAAAGGGAAAAAACTGGACTATCTTCTAGAACCATACTACTGAAAATGTTTGTCTATGAACTGGCCGTTTCCAGTCAGGGAAGACATAAAAAGTTTGAAAAGCCTGAGCCAGACATAAATCAATTCAAGACTTCATAGAGAGAGTGATGTTTTACATTTTCTTGCAAGCTCTTTACCTTGCCGCAGATCTGCAAAGGTGTTTAGTGATCAGGCCAAACCTCACTAACACTGCACTTGGCTTTACCACTACAATGCTTAAAGCTTACAGAACAATGAATCATGAAGCCAAAGTCTTAAGTAATCCCACAAGACCCAACCAGATTTGATCCCTGCTTAATGCCCCAAACTCATCTCATGCTCTCAAAATGCTAGCCCACACTGTGCTCCTCCTGCTTCCTGAATTCTCCTTCAGACCCATACCTCTCTCAACTTCAAGCACTTCCCCCACTTTTCACATGACTGGTTCTGTGTTGTCACTCGGGTCCCAGCTCAAAAATCACAATGTCTGAGAAGACCCTCCCAATGTGCTACCCGAAATAGACCTCCTGGGTGTTTTAGTTTCTATCACTTTCTCTGTTTTAATTTTTTTTCAGAGCTACTCAGAATTATACTTTTATATATGTGTCTACTGTCAATCATCCCCCAGCTACCATCAGGAACACAACTGTCTTGTTTTCCACTGTACACATAGGTCCTAAGGCCATATTTAATTACAATTAAATAATTATATGAATAGATAAGTACTTGATAAGTTAGGCCTAGAGAGGAATAGCTTGATTTTCTTAGACCCTGTGTAAGTATACGTCAGTAGGAAAATTAGTGAATCTTCAAAAGAACATGGACTTCCACACACCCCTTATTAAGTATCTTATTGATATCAGTAAGGTAGACACAGTCCTTTAACACTACTTTTATATAATTATATGTAATTTCTCATGTCTTCATTATTTTATTTAAAAATGAGCATAAGTGAAAAAAAAACTAAAGTGTTCTACCCATTGAAAAGTGGATCAAAGATCAAAAAATTTATAGCAGATCTTAAGATCAGTGGTCATTTAGTGTAAACCAGATGACTATATTTAAAAAATGAAGAAAAATAAACTTGCTTTTTAAAAATGTTCATAAGATGTTGTAGACAGGTATGCACTCAGTGAGTTTGTAATATTTTCTTTCTTAGAACTGCTACCAATTAACTCATTTAATTACCATGTTTTTTCAATAATAAAATACATAAACATGGAAGATGTCTATAACTGGGCTTTAAGCGAGTAGTGATTGTCAAGACAGTCCTTTCATTACATGCAACAGAAATCTCATATCCAAACCTAAGTTCATCGCTGAACACCTAGGAGACAAAGCAATTAGAAGAAAAGGGCTGGACAATGCAACAGAAAGATAGTTATGGTGATACAATGAAGCTTTCCCAAAGAGAAAACACAAAAATAAAACTGAAGAAATATGACCCATCCAGAAATTTGAAAATGAAACTGTTAAGTCATAAAGTACTTTGCATATGAATACTTGATAAAACTTTGAAATACATGCATACCTTCTTCAATAGGCTCATATTTTTGAATGATCTCAGAAGCATTTTTAATGCTTTTATTGATATCAAGTAAAAACTGCTCTTGTATCAAAAATTTGACCAGATTTCCTTCAATTAGAAATTTCCGGTTTTCAGCATATGTGTTGAAAATCTCAATAATTTCTTCTCTGTGTGTCAGAACTCGATAAATTGCTCTAAATTCTTCTATGGTAATTCTTCCTTGCTTCAGTCTGTCATTATCCTACTAAAAAAAAATGACTGGTGGGTTCACATTGTGAATATAAAAAAATACACAAAATGAATGAGTATTTGTGTTAATATGTATAGCTACTTATATTTAAAAACTAAATCATACATTAGATTTTATTTAAACAAAATATGTCACAGTTGGGAAAAGCTTAGTGTCTCATACCCAGTTGATATTCAGTGGCCATAATAGGGGTTGAGGAGGGGCTGGGAAGGTAAAAATTTAAGGTTGTCTTACAATTAAACAATACATTCTTCTATTCCACTCTACTGCTTTAATTTCTTAAAGCCATACTAGGTAGTATGTGATTCTATGCCACCAATATATAGCCTAAACCATAATTGTCAGAGTATTGACTGAAGCATTTAAGAAACTGCAATGATATATATCTTGATGAAATAGAAACTGAGGGGCTATAGGGCAGGTACAAACAAGGTATGTTCCAATCAAAATGAGTAATTCAGGGCCTCATTGGTGGCTCAAGGGGTTAAGACACAGCACTATGAAGCCATCTGCAGCTACTGCTTCATGAGTTCACTCCCTCACCAGGGAGGTGACCCACATGGCACACCTGCAATAGGAAGACATAAAAGCAGTGTCTCTCTCACTGCTCCCTCTAGCAGTGTATTTCATTGATCTGCCTGTTCTGCTCCCATCTCTGTCTCTAGTAAATGCTCTCATCCCCTGCATCTCTGTCCTAAACCTCAGTTCTTGTATGCATAAATAAATAAATCTTAAAAAAAATGATGCATCTGACTGTTCAGGAAAACTGAACTTTATGAGCTAAGAAAGAAGGAAGTGGGCTTGGTCCAGTTATTTAAAGCAATAGAGCTACTATGAAATAGGAAATGGCTAGCAAAAATAGAAGTTTAGTAGGATTAACTGTGCATTACCAATCAGAAGATATGAAGAACTACAGGTCAGGAATCAGCGAACAAAGACAGTGCAATCCAAGTGGGAGGTGGTGAGTAAAAATTGAATAGGTGGCAGTGAAATTATGAAGGGAGAAGTCAGAAGAATTCAACACATTAAATTTTAGATATAAGAGAGAAAAGCAGGGCTGTCTTGAGTGGGGATGGGGCAGAGTTGGAATAACTAGTGGACCGTGGCAGTCCATTAATATAAATCTTACTCTCATTGCATTATAAAAAGTGTGAGTATAAACAGCTTGTGTTACAGGGGGTATTGTGGTGAAAAGCTGACAATTTGTAGACAGATGGAGCTGACATATTCCTAGCTCCAAAGTACGTAGAACGTGGGTATATAAATTAAACTCTCTGAACTTCCTATTCTTCATCTGCAGTGTGGGGACAGATAGCACTACCTATATCCCCAGGACGCTGTAAGGACAGGAAATATACAATAAATGCCAGCTCTAGATATGAATGTATTATTTTATTTTATCAGTGTTTGCTTCCCTCACATCATCTATCCTGGAGTCTTATCTTTCAATGATATAACAGATGAGTCTATGTTTTACACCTTTAGAACAGTAAGTTTGGCATACCCTCCATGATTGGGATGAAGAACACTGCTTGGACAATCACAAAAGGATACACATCCAATCAATAGCCTGATTTAAATAGGGCTGATTTAAAAAATAAAATTCATCTCCTACAGAAGATGACTCCTTTAAGACTGGGAGAGATGGTTACTCTAATGTATTCAAGCCAACATAAAGCATAAGAAAGTCAAGGAAAAGGGAGAAACAGAATAGGTTCCAAATGAAAAGAAACAAAATCCCAGAAACAGACCTTAATGAAAGTGAGATGTGTGATTTACCTGAAACACAGCTCAAAATAATGGTCATAAAAATGTTCCCATAATGATGAAACCAATGCATAAATAAAGTGAAAGAGATTAAGAGATTAAAAAATAAATAATAAAGTACACAATAGAAATCACAGAGTTAAAGCATGCAATAACTGAACTAAAAATGTTGGGAAAGGAGTTAAACCACAGACTTAATGAAGTGGAGAAAATGATCAGCAAACCCAGGGCAGCAGAACATTTCCAAATGGAGGAGCAAGACAAATAATTCAAGAGTGGGAAAACTTAAGGTACTTAAGGAGCATCATTAAGTGGAATGATATTCATATTATAGGGAATCCAAGATGTGGAGAGAGAAAAGGACAGAAAATTTATTTGAAGAAATAATTTAAAATTTACCTAATCTAGGAATAGGAACAGATTCCAAACCCAGGAATCTCAGAAAGTTCCAAATTAGATGAAACTGAAGGACCCATGCCAAGATGCATTCTAATTACACAGAATTTGGAAGTGAGAAAATCATCAAAACAGCCCAAGAAAAAAACAACTTGCTACATATAGGAGAAGAATCAAACTTTCAACAGATTTTACAATAGAAAGTTTGTAGGCCAAAAGGAAGTGGGATGCTATATTAAAGGGGAATGAAAGCTGCTGACCAAGAATGCTCTACCTGGGAAAAATGTCCTCCAAAAACAAGAGAGAAAATAATATTCCAGACAGGCTAAAGTTTAATAAGTTCATAGAATAGCCTCTCAAAAAAATTTGAAGTACTTCAAGTTGAAATAAAAGGATGCCAATTAGTAACAAAAAAAATAATAATAAAGTATAGTTATCTTTGGTAAAGTTAAATATAGAATGAAGATGAACAGGCAAAAGTATTAAAAATAACTCTAATTTAATTAATTTGTATATGGAACCACAGAACAAAGATATAAAATAAGACACCAAAAAATTAAATTATAAGAAGGGGAAAGTAAAAATGTAGTTTCATGAAAGCCCAAATTAAACAGACTCTGTATTCTCAGATTCTGTTTGTATAGCCTGTGAAATGTATTATAATATACTTATAAAATAGTGACTACTTCACTTCTTTTCCTTCTGAAAAAAGATGTTATTCATTTTTACCAGCCACATTTTCTAATAAAATATCGTATAGATAAAAATTTAATGATTGTTGACTGCTCACAGAATTTGAAGACTTAAGTCCTGTAATAAAACTTATTGAATAAAAAGGATACTATTTTATACCCAATGATCAAAAGTATAATTTTAAACTAGTTATGTAAAAGGACATCACTTCCTGTAAAATTTCTTACATACTATCTATTAAAGTTAATAAAAGCAATAGTTTTTTTTTTTAAGATCTTAGAAAAACTCAGGGAATTGCTGCCTAAGTCATAACTCAGTAATACTGTAAAAAAGAAGTTTAGACTATTCTTTCAGCCTAATAAATCTATATGTTCCCTACTCAAATTTTATAATAAAAAGTCACCTTGTAAGGCAAGTAATTCATGTCAGAACTTATGTCAACTTCTTAGAAAATCAATAAATCAAAGTAATTTCCTCTACTTTTTCTAAATAATAATGATTTATTGAGTGCCTACATTTTTCAGGTACAGTCACAAATATTATGTTACTTAATATTCAAAACAAAGCTGCCTAGTAACTGTGTCTATTCTGCAGATTAGGAGAGTTGTTCAGAGCAATTTCTGATTGGCTATCACTACACAGATAGGCACTAAGAGTAAAGTATCTCCATGCCCCAAGCTTGCCAATAACCATAGTCCTGAGACACTGAAAGCTTCTGGCCACCCAAATAAGATTTTACTATATTTACTCTGGCTAAAAGGTATACCCATGAAGTATGGAAATATTGGCAATAACAGTGGAAACAAATAACTGGTTGTTCAAAAAGCTTAATTAATCTTTAGTTATCCAGATAATTCAGCTGGCCAATACAACTTCTCTAAGCATTCTATTTAGTCAACATCTTAGTAAACGTGTGTCAACTTAGCCTAAGGCAGCAAAATACTGCCTAATAGGAGACCTGGGGAAGTCATTTTAATAAAAATGATTTACCATGATTATCAAATTTGTTTATATGCAACTTATGCTTTCAAAGTGTCTGATGTCATTTTAAAGAGGTTTTTATGGTATTCTGAGCAACCTCTGCTCCTCTAATTTTTAAGCCATTGTTCTCATAGCCACTTCAAAAAGGTCTTGCTACACACAATATGCCTTCAATCCTGTAATGTCCAAATAAATATAAATTTCAATTAGTAAGCTATTTCTTTACTAATTATAAGTGTTAAGCTTTCTCCATAAGCCTCTAAATATAGAATTCATATGATCAGGTGCATAACAAATAGATAGCTCTGTCTTACAGAAAATTCAAAGCAAACTGATAATCACTAAATAAAATTTATAATAGTTCGCACTGCATATAGATTTAATAATATATATCTATATCTATACAGTGTTGAATGTGAATTTTATAAAGTAACACTAGCTGTTTCTCCCTTTGTACTATACCATTGGGGAAAATTCTACATGTAAAGGTCTTTCACAGAATTTTGCATTTTTCAAATGCAATATTAGACATGAATTGTTTAAAATTCTGATAGCTCCTGCAACTTGGATTCCTAAAACTCAAACATTTTATCTTTTACTACATTTTCCTAAAGTGCAATTTTTTTTTTTTCTTCACAGTGGTCCTTTCTGTGGTTTGTAAACAGGGAGCTAAATCTTATTGAGAATTGCCTAGTGACAACAATTCTCTATGGGCCCCCTGCATTTCTGTACATTTTCTGAGCAGGACAGAGGTACCAACCCTGCCTTTCTTCACAACCTGCTTTGCAAGAATGTTTGTGTAATGAAGAGGCAGTGTCTCCCTCCAGAGGAAACAGTAGGTCAGTTCATGAAAACAATGATAATGATGCCCTAGCAAGGCAAACCTCAGAGAGGACTATTGTAATGTGAACCCCTATACATATACCTGTTAGCTGCTCTCCCTCACCTCACACTTTGGGAACCGGGGCTGGAAGAAATGACCCCCAAATGCTGATACTCTGACACTTGCTACTTTGTGTGAGTAACAAGCTATTTCCTGAACTAGAAACCTATCTCTATCCACATCTTTGAAAGTGCAATTAAAGTAAAATATCAGACTCTTCTGGTTTGTGTTCATGTGGCAATTTCAACATGAATCATGTAATCTGGTTTACATAAAAACAAATCCTGTTCAGGTTTTCTACCTTCCTAACTATGTAAGTTGGCCAGTCTAATATTCTTGCCTGATTCTTCAGGAAGTTTGCCATCCTTTTAATGCAAAACTCAACTCAGCTTTTAAAAAAATCATATTCACAATGTTTCCTCCTGTGCCCTAGTAACAAACTTGAGGCAACTTTCCTTCCTCCCAGCTGTTCTCTAAACACAGGACTTGGCAAGTTTTTCTACACTGGCGTGAATATGTTCCTTGTGATCACTCACTCCTTCTGTAAATCACCAGCATCCAATCCATTTACCATTTCATCATTTATATGATTTTGATTTAATCACACACCAATCATCATCTGGTATGAATATTACTGCAGAGTCTGCAGATAGTTCTCAATAACCTGGCATTATTTCAAACTTTTTCAGAAACTCATTTCACCGCCTACCTAAATTATCTTCATCTTGATCACAAATAAGTTTGGCATAATTAGCTGGTTTAATTCTTAAGAGAGAAATGTTTCATATGCATCTTCTGCAGAAAGCATCAAAGAGACTATTAACATTTGCTTATATTGGATTAAGTCCTTCTGGTGTCTGGAAAGGCAGGGGATGGATATCATCTCACCTTAAAAATATATTTCACATGAATATTATTGCAGGGGATATCTAATTTTTCAAGTAATTTCAGAGTTTTTTCTAGGTTAATTTTTCCGCCTTTAAAGTCATCCCGAATCATCATCAAAAACCACGTATGAAGCACACAAAAATAGGTTAAGGAAATTCTCACAAAAAGTCACTAAGTACTTAAAAGAAATGTGTGATCTGTCTTCAGCTTAATGTACTTATTTAGAGGAGCATTTTCTACTTAAATCAAAAATAATTCAATGCTTAATCATATTTAAAAAGGCAAAATAAAGTATATAATAGTCTATAAGACATCAAAAATTAAAGCCCATAGCATATTAAAAAGTACAGGAAAAATAAAAAAAAAGTTGAGAAATTAGGTTACGATGGAAGATACGGTCCACTGAGAGAAAAGATGGCCTGAGAAGAAAAGAGACTTGCTCTCCCTTTCCTGTGACCTCTTTGAGCTTCAGTTCTTTCATGTGAAATAAAGTAGGTAAATCAATACTATAGGAAGGTGGGGTGCCCTGAACACAGTCTCTGCTATCGAAAGTTCAATAAATAGTAGCCATATCTGATACACTAATATTAGGTAATGTGTTATTACCACACATTAGTTAAATGTCCAGTTTACACACAGTTCAGGAAAGCAACATTATAAGTTTCATAACTAGGATTAAAAATGCCATTATGACAAATTATAAACAAATACACTTCAACAAAAGAAATACAATTTTTAAAAAAATGGCATGGTGAGTATATATATGGTGTTAAAGAGAAAACTAAAATAATCAAGCTTACTTATTATATAAGGTAAACTTCAAAAATAGGGCATTGCAGTTTGAAAAATGAAGGTTGAGAGGAATGCATAGCACAGTCTACACCTCCAAAAGTTATTTGCAGAAATTATTCAAAAAATCCACTCAATTTCAGATTGTTAGAGCTAATGAGGGACCTTAAATTTAATATCTACGAGCTAATATGGTAACGTCGATATACTTATAGTAAAAAGATACAGGAAAGATAAACTCTGTAAAGCTGAGGACAGATATGAAAAGGAGTTTATACTTAAATAAGAAGAACTTAAGTTCAGGACTCTTCAAAAAGAATAATAATCAAATAAAGGAAATAAATCAAGAGAAAAAGGAGGAAAGAGGACTAGAAAGGACTTCTGAGTGGATATCTCTCCATATTTTCATGACCTCTTGTTCCGTCTCTTGTCACGTAGCGGTCTCCCCTTTAGGTGCTGTCATGGGCTCCAAATAGAGTGAACTACCAGACGTGCATCGGTGCTTTGTAGTGCTGCCGCTCCCTTTCTGGAGAAAAAGCAGAGAACAATGGTTTGTGGCCTTTGTTCTCTGGAGTCTGCACACACCCATTATCCTGCATTTCACTGCCCTTGAAAGTTCCTGGCTTCTTGTCTATGTTTCGATCATCTCCAGATCTTTATTGTTTATAAACACAACATCCCTGCTGTCTGGACTTTTACCATGAATTGCCATCCTCTCTGGTTTTATTTTTACAATTTAGTTTAGCCCCTTCAAACCTTTCATTGTAACATGCCCATCGCGGCTTTGGGGCCCCTCTGCAGAAGGCCTGACCCTCAAGCAAGGTGGTTTGGTCTCCACAGTCTGAAGTGCTGCTAAACAGTGCCTAGAAATCCTGGGTTGCTTCTTTATCTCTTGACAGCAGACAGTGCACACGGAGACACTGCTTTGGATGAAGGCTCTTCAGGAAGCCAAGTTTCTTAAACTCTTCTAAATAATTTCCTCTGGTTAGCTGAGCACATAGCTGGCAGGTGACTGTCATGATTTCCTTTGGGTCTGGACACCATTGTGATCTCATTATGAGTTCCACAGGTCACCAAGAAATCTCCTTTATGACTTCATCAGGAGCCAGACATTGCCAGACAACCAGTTTTCATGGTTAGACACAGTAATTTTCAGCTTGCTGTTTAACACCTTGATGAGAAATTGTCTCATGGAATGTTATCTCATCCGCTGAACACTTCATTTCAGAAGCTTTGCTTCTGCTGCCACCAAACATGTCAATTGCTGTTCTGAGTAGGAAAGAGAAAGAAAAAGCAATTCACAGACTGTTGATTCAGGCTCCTCCTGGGGAATTTGTAAATGCCTTTGATGACCTTTGTCTGCTTATCCGTGATGAAAAACTTATGTACTATCAAGGTGAGTGTGCAGGACACCAACACTGCAAAAAATATTCTGTCCCACTCTGCATTGATGGAAATGCAGTCCTCTTGTCTCACCACAATGTAGTGGGTGACTACCGATTTTTTGACTACCAAAGCAAACTCTCCTTCAAATTCGACCTGCTTCAAAACCAGCTGAAAGACATCCAAAGTCATGGTATCATTCGGAATGAGACAGAATACCTGAGAACTGTTGTTCTGTGTGCCTTAAAACTGTATGTGAATGATCACTATCCAGCAGGAAATTGCAATGTACTGAGAAAATCTGTTAAAAATAAGGAGTTCTTGATAGCTTGCATTGAGAATCACAACTATAATTCAGGAGACTGCTGGAATGGCCTTTGGAAATCCAAATGGATTTTCCAAGTAAACCCATTTCTAACTCAAGTAACAGGAAGAATTTTTGTGCAAGCGCACTTCTTCAAGTGTGTGAACCTTCATATTGAAATCTCGAAGGATCTGAAAGAAAGCTTGGAAGTGGTTAATCAAGCTCAACTGGCTCTAAATGTTTCTAGGCTTGTGGAAGAGCAAGAGAACAGATTTCAAGTTGCAGTCTTAGAAGAATTACAGGAGTTATCAGATGAAGCTCTGAGAAAAATTCTACGAAGAGATCTTCCAGTGACCCGCACTCTTATTGATTGGCAGCGGATACTCTCTGATTTGAATCTGGTGATGTACCCTAAATTAGGATATGTCATCTATTCAAGAAGTGTGTTATGTAACTGGATAATATAAAGGATTTCTCCTGGTAATATTGTGTTTTTATGGGGTGTTCTTTTTGTAATATTGAGAAGCCAGTAGAGAGATGTCTGTGACTTAGTAAATGTGAGTTTAAACTAGGGAGGAGTATAATAATTTTAGTCAGGAAATACTTACCAGTAAGTGAAGAAAGGAAAGACATAAATGTGTTTCATAATTTCAACCATCATAAAGATGGAAATATTTATTTGAACCTAAAATAGTTTTAGGGAACGTGGCATCTCAGAAGTGGCATAGAGGTGACCTGGGTTAATCATGTGTGTATGTCTAGGATTACTTCTGATTTTCTTTGGAACTAGAGAAGGAATGCAAATGAAAGTCACTGAAAACAATGCATAAAATTCAATTCAGTCTACACCAACACCAAAAATATGCATTTCAATAAATGGCATTAGGTCTGATGTCCCATAAAACTGAGTGATATCAAAAAAAATCTAGCTCAGGTTAAGGACTATTATTAACTTGCATATAGTGCTACCCAACAGATACAAGAAATGGAGATTTGAGGCTTTTCTAATAACTGATATGGTCTTCAAAAAAATCAATGGATAGACAAAGGCTGATATCTCAAGCTTATATAGTCAAGCTTTTCTGACATTATCAATATAAGCATTTATAAGTACTTCATTCTAGTTACCCTGTGCTAAGTGAATTTGCACAAAATTTCCCATCACTGGATTTGTACAAGTAGTAACCCCAATGTACTTGAAGCTAAGCACTCAAGTGGTTTAATTCATCTAGACATAGAATAAGGTCCATCTACTGGCTCCCATCATAACCTCTAGAATGAATGACTCTTTGTGGATGCCTGTCTCATTAAGAACTGTGAACTCTACAACGATGGAAGCAAGCATTCTGGTTAGAAGATACCCCCAAAGGAAGTGGAATGGGGTGGGGATGGGGGACTTCTGTTTTCTAATCAAATCAGATTACTTAAACAGTCACCTACCACCATATTTGGCAATGTTATTAGCCACATGTGACTGTTCTCAAAGAACAGTAAATATATGCCTCTCTGCTAAGATTGCTGAACAGCACTACATAGGTCCTATCCCTCAACACTGACTTATCTGGGAAGCAAAGAACTTTATGTATTGGGTTCATACAATTCAGAAAAGGTCTAATACTGCTTAATAAGCACTGGCTTAGACAAGACCCTATACAAGATCTCTTCCCCAATGGGCATTCCTTAGAAGGTCTCAGGAAAAGTACCAAGGGTTTATCTTTAAAAACACACAATTAGGGCTCTCCCTGGTGGTGCAAAGGGTTAAAGCGCCACATTAGGAAGCTCTCCGAAGACACTGCAGCATGAGTTCTATCCCCGGCCAGGAAGCTGACCCACATGGCATATCAGACCTCTCCTGACCCACCCTCTGCTCCCCTAAACAGTGTACTTTGTCAATCTGCCTGTTCTGCTCTGTCTCTGGTGAATGCTCTCACCCACTACATTTCTGGCCTGTACCCCAGTTATGTAAGAAATAAATAAATCTTTAAAAACACACTCACTTATACAAATTATAGGGGAGAAGGGCCCCAGGGACTGTGATAGAGGATTACAGTGCTTTGGTAGTAGCTGTAAAGAAGAGGTATAAACTCGCACCCTCAGTCAGTATAGTAAACCAATGTTATCTCAATAAAAATACAATTTAAAGATAAACATAAAGTTAAAAATATGTGAAGTCAAATTCCCAGAACCCAATCTCTGATTCTGAGTAAGTCAGGAAATCTACGTTTTAATTATCAGCAATGATTCTGATGCAAGGGGTCTTCAAGCCACATTTTAAAAACATTGCCCTAGCCATAAAGTAATACATGCCTGCTTTCTATATACTTAGTCATTTCCTATAAAACCTATTTCCCAATGAAAGCCATTTCTGCTACTTCACTCAATTCATTCTACACAGACTAAGGACAGGCCTTCTTTATCTGTCATGGAAAAAAGATAAGAAAAATCTTTCTAAAGAAAAGCAGCAAAGATCTTGTGCCTTCAACCAGTGTAAATAAAGAAAAGCAGCAAAGAAAATGAAAGCCAAGTGCTCTCAAGTCACTAAAATATGTCCATCTTACAAATCATTCTGCAGAAATTTGAATATTGTAGTTACAGGTTAAAATGTTGGTTTTTCAGATCATTTCAGAATAGGCCTAAAGGTAGTTTATAGAACAATCAGAGAGACATCTGGTTCCCATTTTGACAGAGTTTTTAAAAAAGTGTTGATTTTTTTTTATATAAAAGTCACATGTATAAGTCACAGAGATTATAAAGCATTTTGACCTATTTCTTTCCATCCAATTTTTCAAAATACCTTTAATTATTTAGAACATATAGCAGGCTCTCCCTGTGGCGCAGTGGGTTAGGACGCAGCACTGCAAGCGAGCCACTGCTGCTTCAGTGCGAGTTCAATCCCCGCCCCAGAAGTGATCCACGTGGTGCAGCAGACCTCTCATCACCGCCCGCTGCTCCCCTCGACAATGTGCTTCATCATTCTGCCTGTTCTGCCCCCTCCTCTGTCTCTGGTGAGTCCTCTCACCACCCCTGTACCTGTGGCCTGTACCCCAGTTCTGTATGAATAAATAAAATCTTAAAGTATATATGTGGGGGGCGGGGAGCTGTAGCATATATCATTCTTCATTTTTGTACAGTATATGCTTTTCAACTCGGTTGTAGTCCCCATGAAATTCCCACCACCAATTCACCTGTGCACCATCACCATAGTCCCTTGTGCTCTTCCCACCCTTGTTTCTACCCTATTCCCCTCTCTCACCACCCCAGAATGTCTCCAGTTTATAGTTTGCTGATTTTAGTTTTTACTTTATTACAAGTATTTTTTCCTGATCCCTTACACTGCCCCTATGAGTGAAATATATATATATATATATATATATACATATATATAAACATAAAGCATATAAAATTTTGAATCCTGTTTTTTAGCATAGCTTTATGTAAACATGCCCCATGTCATTAAAATTCCTTGAGCACATAATTTTAATTATTTATGAGATTTTCATATTACTCATAATATCACAAGACAACCATTTTCCTATTTATAGATAATTTAAATTTTTATGTCTCTTATTGATTATGCTATAGTGAGAATCGCTGAACATAAAACACACATTATAGATTATTTCCCTTCAGGTAAATTCCCTAAAATTGCATATTGAAAAGACGTGAACATATTAATGTTCCTAATACATATTGCCTAAATTCCAGGAAAAAAAAAGGAACAATTTTCAATCCCATCAGTAGCATTAGACAGTGTCTAGTTCACCACAGGAATCTTGGCGATATTAAATACCACATTATTTTTGGATGGGCAACAACAAACCTGAAAACAATACAAACAAATTTTAAAAGGAATTTCATTACTTATGCCAAACTATACCCAAAATATTCCAAATGATATTATTTTCTTTTATGGAGGCTGAACTTCTCCAGTTACTATTTCTTCTCTATATTTATCTCCCACAGGCACACATGTGTATGCACACACACAATGCTATATTTAGACATAACTATGAATACACACACACACACACACACACACATACCTAGGCAGATGCACAGACACAGAAATTGCTTCAGATCCTGAATACTTGGTAACTTTTTTTAATGTTCCAGTGTTTTCTCATCACTGACTCAATTTTTAACAGGTGTAAATTCTCTTAGAATTAGGATCTTTTCTACTCCATGTATCTAGTCCCTTTTATCTGTCATAAAGTAGACATTGAATGGAATGCTAAATGATTGAATGAATAAACAAGAATAAAATAAAGACATGGTGGGTTTAGTTGGTCTTAAGATTTTTGTAAACCGTCATTACCTGGTGACCTGTAGGAACTCTGTAATTCCACTGCAGAAACCTAAGACTGATGTTGTAACCTCTCATTTTCTAAGACTGTTCAAGATATTGATTATATTCTGAATTTACAATTGGCCACCTCTTGCTCTGATTAAGAAAACAAACTTTTCTTTTACTCCCAAGTCAAATAGCATTTCTTCCACCAAGTTTAAGAAAATCAAATATTTCAAAAGTCAAATCTTTATTTCAACTTTCCATGTTACTCTTTCAAAGATTTTCTGCCTTTTCCCACAGGAAGTTATTAGAGAGGGGTCATAAAAGGAGCATATCATGTTCTAAAGAAGCAGAGTTCCATGGGGGGAAATACACCCTTCAGCTTTCTTCTGTGTCGTGGTAAGTCCCTGCTTCTAAGATGCTCTAGCTTAACTTGCCTTGCGATTGAGGCAGGCTTCAATTTTTTCTTTGGTTTAAACCTTCAGTATAGTGTGCAAGCCAACTATTCCCTTTTTTATGTCACATGGTTCTGGCATAATTAAATGATCTCCATGTACATTAGAAGTATATGAAGATCCTTTCCCAAAGCTGATTAGATTTTAGTGAATTAACATAATAAGTATTTGACGTCACTGTGACTCAGCCCTTGTTACTGCTTTATCTCACCTTGTTAATATTCTCATCAAGACACAGCTCTTGGATTTTGGCCTTTCACTTGGATAATTTCAGCATTATGTAGGGTATACTGAAAGAATGGGGCCCTCCTAGTCTACTGCTTCTTAGATTTTAGTGAAAGCTATCTCAACTCCACACGAATCACTGGTCTCTCACTTCTGATGAGCAATCCATTTATTCTACTCTATTCACTCCCATAGCCTTCTTCATGATATGCTTTCACATTTTTTATTCTATTTCTTATTATTCCTTCATTTGGTAAACTACTTTATACCTTCACTAAAAAAGACACATGCTTTTTAAAAAAGATCTTATAGCTTCCTAACTTGCACTCAAAACTATTTGTATTTTCTTCTCCTTACAAATAATCTCTACATAAGGCTATATTCCTTTCCAAAACTAGCTTCATCCTGTGCATTTGATTTTAAATCCTTGATCTTTTGTGAACAGCTCTGGATCCATCAGTTCCACTTTCATTGCTGACTCCTCACTCCCTCCACCTGAGCTTGGCTCTTCTCTGC